AGCCGGCAGAGAAAAATCGGCTCGGGCCCAAAAAAGCTCGGACCTGTTTTTCTCGAGCCGAGCTCAAGCTTTGAGTTTTGGCTTGTGGCTCGATTCGACTCGCTGAAATAGCTATTTTAGTCCAAAATGTGAACTCTGTCAAAAATTACTAATGAATGTTTAGTCGGATAATGAATTGATGACGAGGTATTCCATTTGACATTACTTTAACATCTAATAGGCCAACAAATATACCATCACATCATGCCCGCCGGGGCATAGCTCAATGGTGCAAAAGACATGAGTGATGTAATTTCAGCTAAGTTGACAGGCGCAGTGTGAGGGTTTGATTCCTATCTCTTACAAGGTATGAAATTTGACTCTTTGTGGGCACCAGTATGGCAGCTCTGTACTCTGGCCTACTGAGGCACATCGCGCGATTTACCTCCTCCACGATACTTTAGGGGAGGGGCGGGGCGGGGCATCATTTTTCTATAGAGCTTTTACACTACAAGTACATTAAATATGTATTTTTCATTAAAAACAGTGAGACTTATCTTTGTCGACAAATTAGGTGCTAAAATAACGTCAAATGAGATGCCACATCATCTATTCGTTTTCCAAATAGGAGGTATGTTAATAATTTGGATGAAATTCATTTTTTTTGGGGCTGACGGTACAAGACTCAAAGTTGAGGGACTATTCAAGTTCAATATAAAGTTTGAGGACTTTTTTCTAACATAGATTTATACCGATTAGAAAAATCAGCGCAATTATACCTAAAGGTTCATAATCGGCCGTTTACTTGCAGACTCTTGCACCGTTGACTGAAATATCTATATTCTGGTTTTGTTGTTCAAAAGCATTTGGAAATATGAAAGCCATTGAGACTCTTTTATCCCCTGAATTTGTGTAGAGGCATACCGTGTTAAGCCAATCATCTCAAATCGAATAATTTTCAAAATAGAGATGACATATAAGGATTTGGGTTATTTCTTTTAATAAGGTTAACATTTTAATATGAAGTCCCAAATTTTAATATAGTACCAAAACCCATTAAACTCCAACAATTAATTTGATTCGATTAAGACTAAACAATGAACACGAATAATTTTCAGATTGTTCTGCTCATACGATCCACCACCAGTGGGGTATGTTAAAAGGATAAATCACAAATCGAATAATTATCGAATTATAGACTAACACATAAGGACTCGAGTTACTTCTCTTATTGACATTTTAAAATGGAACTCTAGTACTTAATCTATGGAGCCAATCGTTTTGAGTACTCGGAACGCGTAAAGTGTTTTGAAATTCAAAGTGGTATTGAGATGTATAGCAAGCAATGATTTTCCCATTTGCCTATCTGCATGGTCAAAACACAGTATTCATTTTCTCACGATAATTCAGAGAAAGGTGCTTCAAGCAGTTATGGTTTCGTCCTACCAATCAGGGATGTCTATCCTTTAGTCAGGAAAATGAGTACAAATTATTTCTCAGCTTTGTTTGCAAATAAATAATTGTTTCGACTACTGATGTCTCAATTTTTAACAAGAATGCCCATTTGTGTTTGTTGCGAACATCTCTGCACAGTTTGTTGGAACTTCTGGCTATCTCGGTAGAAATTTGACGTCTTTTTTGAGAGAATTTCACCTGAATTAATACTTTGTTTTGCTCTTCATGTTTTATTGACATTTTTCGCAACAGAATCAATTAAAGATGAGATCGAATAACAGTTTTATTGAATGAAAATTTGCCATTTGAAATGCATATGGAACTTGATTTCTAAATTACAGATGCAAACTTCTCTTTCTAATATATAGAAAGAAATATCTATATCAAATTCTGGTCTAATTAACGCGTTTGCAATCAGCCCTGATTTCTCCATTGTTTCCTGTCAGTGGACTTATATTTCCCATCTTTATCATGGACTGAACAAAAGCATCGAAAAATTCACTCTGGCTATTCCCAAATCGGTTGACTATAGCAACGGTATCAGCTCCACTTGTTGAGAACAATTCTTGATCCGTCTGAAGAAGTCCCCTGTTGCTCTGGAGGTTCGTGAAGTAGTCGTTGTCAAAACCATCAGGACTCGAAGGATCAAGATTAGCTAAGGTATCTGCGTTTCCACCTTGAGGACAAGTTTGACGTAATGTATCCCGGTAGGCAGGGTCCATGCTCGGGTCAGGGTTCCCCGTGTTGCTGAAACTGTAAAGCCGGGGGCTGAAAGAACTGCATTTGGCTCTTCCAAAAGTATGAGCACCTGAAGATTAACAATAATTAGTTGACATAATCGAGTAATATGCCATACAATCTGAGTAGAGGATGTGCCCCCTCAGTCTGTGATACCTGATAAAGCAACTAAATCAGTGGAATCAAGACCCTTATTGTCGAACTTGGATGTGACGTTACTAAGGCTCTCGAAAGGGCCAGGAAGGTCACTATTGGCCCCTGCTGGGTTTGCTGTTCTGCTATCCCTTCTGCCTAGAGGAACTTCCCATGATGGACCTCCTCCCTGTGACAATGGAAAAAATTATGGGCATACTCGGTACGCTGTAGTGGATAAGATTAAAGCAATTTGTGATACCAGGGTTACTGAAATTTGAGAAGCCAGGGCTAAAATATCTGCACAGGAGACGACACCAGGACAAACGTTCTCCAATGCTGTTTTTATGTCGTCAACAACATCGAATCCAGCGGCTGAATTAATGTTGGGAAGAGCATCTTTTTCGCTCTGTATGCCATCTGCATTATCTAGCAAAATTGAGCCATCGCAGCCCTGCTCAAAGCAGACATAAGAAGTTACACTTTTTTTTTTTGTATCAAATATATCAGTTGAGTCGGACTGCATAAATATTTCTTCAGATCTCAACTTTGAAATCAAGTAGTCGAGCAATACTTATGCATGCAGAATCAAATGCAATATTCATGACCACCCTCAACCCTCCCATAAGATACGTGTTCTCTTAAACTACGAGTTCAAGTATTGTCGTCACCAATTTATAAAAAAATGTAAATTAAATCAAAAAGTGAATTTGGATTTTCGCTTACACCTTGAAAGGCGAAACTTAAATGTGTCGCCTCTAACATATTCAACTTTCTAAAACGTGTAGGGTTGAGAGGGGGTGGGGGAATGCAACATGACATGGCAGAGTGGGAATAAAATTACATCGACAAAGCAATCGTGGAAATGAAGGCGAACGAGCTTGGCGCCAATTCGAACATCATTTTGTTGAGCCTGTTCCAATATTTTACGAACGACAATGGACACATTTGGGCATGAAGTACTGTAAAATGTATTGGTCAAGTGACCATTACACTGTGAAGCTATCAAGAAAAGAGCTACTATTAACGGTAGCACGGACATTTTTAGAAAATATTACTTCTTAGATTGAAAAAATATAAGAAATGATAGGGTTTGATTATACTTGTGTGATTACATTACAGCTATATATATATAGGAAAATAGCAGCAAGTTAATATGCAGGGATAGGGAGTGGGTGGGGTGGGGTGGGGTGGGGTGGGGAGTTTGCATGCATAGAAAATTCTTTTTATGTATACTCTTCTTAGCCAGATCAAAATAGGGTTTTGTCAAATTAGATGGCGCAGAAAAATTAAATATAAGCATGCAATTAGTTGGCTGTTAACATCTACTTGAGCTTGTAGTATTTTGTGAAAGTATACGAAATTGATTATGAAAATAAATAATAATCACATAATCAAAATCTAATCATAAGAATACTGCAGAAATGATTACTTAACCTTTGAACACTACGTCATTAAATATATAATAATCACATAATCAAAATCTAATCATTAGAATACTGCAGAAATGTTTACTTAACCTTTGAACACTACGTGATTGACTAATGATATAAGGGCGTGTTCAGTAAAGATTAAAATTGGATTAAAATTGAAAAATTAGTCGTTATTGTTGATTTTTATTAGACGAGTGGGACCCCATAACGGTCATATTTTCAATTAAAATTGGATTTTAATCCTGGACAAACATGCTCAAAATATATAATCAGTAATTCTATGCAAAACTTTTAGGGTCACGTTTACTTTAATAAAAATCAAATTTTTAGAAAAAATTGACAAAATTGACGAAATGTGTGGTTAAAAAATTGTGGATCCTACGGAATGTGTAGATAAAGTCAATTGATGACTTGGAATTAGATTTTAATCAATTTTTTGATAATAAGTCCATCTTTGAGCTCCATTATAATTTTTTTTCTCAAACTCATTTTTAATCACATCCTCCCAAAAAAAAAAAAATAATTTTGCTTGTAAATTAAAAATTTTTTCCCTACTTTTAATCATACAATCTTAAAAAAAAAAAAAAATCGTTGATACAAAATATGTTCTCCACAAAAATGGGAGTCTTTAAGACAACTTTTCCAACAAGAGTTTTGGTCAAATTAGACGGCGTACATTTTTAAGTAGATACATGCAAGTTGTCTAACACGTGAGCTTTATAATTTGTGTAAGTCTACTAGTAAGGTAGCTTTCATCTTGATGAAATGTATAGTTGAAAAATTATATAATTCATAAAATAGATTTTAAAAATTAATTGTTGACTTTATTTTGAATTAAAATCTAAATATTAATTGGTGCCAAACATGAGCTAAGAGTCTTCCAGACGTTTGCATTGTCAAGTCATTGCGAAGATAATTCTAATTTTGGTCTTCAACTTCTAGAATTAGACTTCCCAATTACATTACCACTTTGGAAACAAGACAGCTAATGATGAGCCAATAATCTCTTTTACTTTAACGACTATTGCTTTTATTTTTGCAATAAAGATACGAAGCCCTAATTATTTCTCGGACCGCCACCTCCAGGGCAAACCGCCACCCATTGGAGGAGGTGGGCAGCAGTGGAGATAATTAGGGGTTTCAAACTTTTTAGGTCTCTTTTGTAATAACTAGTCAGAAGCACGTGCATTGATGTAGTTGAGTACGTAATAGCATAAGTATTAAAAACAAATATCTATGTCAAATATTAGTTACATAAAATTTTCTTATAAGTTACTAAATGTTTCGAGGCAACATTAAATGTGGAGATGAAAAAAAATCACACCCACAGTTATTGAAGAAATCGAGGCTCACCTTCCACAACAGCCTCAAGTAGCATAAGTATTAAAAACAAATATCTATGTCAAATATTAGTTACATAAAATTTTTTTATAAGTTACAAAATATTTCGAGGCAACATTAAATGAGAAAATGAAAAAAATTACACCCACAATTATTGAAGAAATCGAGCTCACCTTCCACCACAACCTCCAGTTATCGAAAAATGTCTTCTCACCAATCCCCGATGTTCAGTCATTGTCATTTATTTCATAAACCCCTAATCAATTTTTAAATAAAATAACAGGGGAAAAAAACTCAAAATAAAGAAGTTTATTATTATTATTATCACATTTTNAGCATGAATGTAAAATAGAAAAGAAGTTAAAATTTGGTACTTAGTAGCAAATAGATCGAGATAGACATTAAAGAAAATGAAAAAGAAATGCATGGACCACAACATATGAATAAAATAACAGTGAATATAACTCTGTTCACAAGAAAAAAACAATCAAAAGAGGCTAAAGAAAAGCTGAGGCACCTTTTCTGAGCACTGCTGCTGGAATATACCCTATTGCAAATCTTCCTTGGACATAGGAAATTTCAGAAAGAATAGAGCTGTGTTACTCTTGTACATTTTTTAAACATCTTAACTGGGAATAATAATGAAGAAAAGAAAACATGTGGCCAAACCTCAGTCCTTGGCAGAGTCGGTTGCCCTTAGATGGTTTGTATTTCAGAGAAACACCACATAGTTTGTTTAGTCCTCCTGAGCCACCTCTTTCTTTTTTTCCTTCCAGTTGGAGCACTGCAAAGATACACATAAAGGGGATATATCAAGCCAAAAGGAAGAAATAATTGCACAATGTCCTTCATAAATATTATGACAAAAAAATAACATGTGGAAGGAGGCATGGTATGCCTCCATCCACTTGGATGGAGGCAAACTCAATGCCTCCATCCAGGATAGAGACACGGCGGTGTCTCCATCCTGAATAGAGGTGTCTCCGGGACATCCGTGTGCCTCGCCTCCATGCACAATTTTTTTTTTTTTATACAATGCTACTAATAACATTTTTTCCTCTTGTCTGATGTAGGTTTTCTTCTTGTCTTCTCTTTACCAGGGATTACAAGAAACAAGCATTATATATTAACCAAATACAGTTTGATTTTTTTACCATACTAATTACATTGTTAATTATTATTATTATTATCCACAAGTCAGCTATTGATTTATTTATGGTGAAATATTAGTTCTAAAAATAAAAATTACATATCTACAGAGATGTGAAAAATGATGATTACATTTTATCTCATCATCAATCAACGTTATAAAATTACTTCATCTAATTCTTCCACCAAGACCCACCAATCCAAAAACTAAATAATAAGGTAGTCACGATTTAGATAAGACAAGAATGAAAACCTACATCAAGACAAAATGAAAAATGTTATTAGTAAAAAAAAAAATCGTGCAGTGGGACACCTCCATCCAGGATGGAGATATCGCCGTGCCTCCATCCAAGTGGATGGAGGCAAACCAGGCAAACTCAATGCCTCCATCCAGGATAGAGACATGGCAGTGTCTCCATCCTGGATGGAGGTGTCTCCGGCACACCCGTGTGCCTCGCCTAGCACGATTTTTTTTTATACAATGCTACTAATAACATTTTTTCCTTTGTCTCCTGATGTAGGTTTCCTTCTTGTCTTCTTTTTACCAGTTTGATTTTTTTTTTTACCATACTAATTACATTGTTAATTATTATTATAATTATCCACAAGTCAGCTATTGATTTATTTATGGTGAAATGTTAGTTCAAAAAATAAAAATTACATATCTACAGAGATGGGAAAAATGATGATTATATTTTATCTCATCATCAATCAACGTTATAAAATTACTTCATCTAATTCTTCCACCCCACCGAGCCCCACCAATCCAAAAACTAAATAATAAGGTAGTCACGATTTAGTATTTACAAAGTTTTCATTCTCGATAGGAAGATATTCATTATTCACCTTGTAGCATTAAAACAAGTATCATGCTTTAAATGTAAATTAATGTTATAAGCCATATGAAGAAGGGTGAGAGGTTACAGTTTGCAGCATCATTGGCATTCAGTCCAAGGAAAAGAGTGTGGTGATTGTAGAATATGCAGAAACCAGCAGCTCAAACTTCCTTTTTGTGTAAAGTTTTGCAGGAAACTCATATTACAAAATAAAATCAAAACCAGATGCCTGGGAATGTCAAACAACACAAAACTTCAATAGGGAAATTTCTCCCTGACCAAAAATATAAAGGAATTAACCATTAAAAAGTGAAAGTAAATGGTCCTCAAAACAAATTAGGATTTTTACAATTTAGTACTCAATTTCTATGACCAGACGTAAAAAGAATTTCCATTTTAATCGACCCCCACCCAAAAAATAAGGAGAGGCACTCCATGCCTCCATTTCGTGCCTCCATCCACACTCCATGCCTCCATCCACTTGGATGGAGGCATAGATAAATGCCTCCATCCACTTCATTTCTCCATGCCAATGGAGGCATTTCTCCACGTCTCTATCCTGTATCTCCATCATGTTTCCAGCTGTCCGCCTATACTATGCCTCTTTTAATATATAGTGATTTTAAACTATATAAATTTAAAAGGATTTTAAAGTGCAAGGCACACTAAAAATTAGAAAATACATTTTACAAAGCAAAAATAAATACTCATAAATTGATTCACCACCCTGTCGTCCCAATTGGATCCCCACCTTGCACTATAAAATCCTGTACTCCAATATCACATAAAAATTATCAGTTCGATATTAAAAATGTTTATATATTAATAGCAAAATCAAAAAAAGAGACATTAATGATTTTGTGGAATTTGACGTTACAATGATTCCAAACTTAAAAAATAAAATGTCATTGTCACCAAAAAAAAAGGAGACATGCTGGATCTCTGTGCCGGGTACGGAGGCACATTCTCGTGTCTTTATGCTCGGCGCGGAGACACAGTTGGATGGAGACACGGAACTTCGTCCACTGGACGGAGACATTTCTCCAGTTTTCCGTCCAGCGGACGGAGTTCCGTGTCTTCCGTCCACTGGACAGAGACATGGAGAAATGTCTTCGTCCAGTGGACGGAGTTTCTCCATGTCTCCATCTAGCATGGAACATCGCCCGTGTTTCCATACCTCGATGTTGATGGAGATTTTTTTATTTTTTTTAAATAATATTGAAGGTTAAAGAAGCCCAATTGCTAGTTTAGGCCTAATTATACACTAATTTTCCACTTGGTCAATTTATCAAACACCTTAAATGCAACCTATTTTTCCTAAGATTT